TGACCACATGGTGTGGCAGACCTCCCCTGACCCGCCCTGCTGCTCACCTCAGCAGTGTACTTCATCGATCTGCCTGTTCTGTTCCCCACTCTGTCTCTGGTGAAGCCTCTCACCGCCCCTGAGCCTCTGGCCTGTACCCCAGTTCTGTATGCACAAATAAATAAATAATAAAAAAAAAATAGAATCCAGAAGTATATTAAGTTCCAGGAACTTTGGAAGCTTGAGAAAAAGTAAACACCTTTTAAAAAATATAATAGTTTAGGCCCTCCCTGGTGGCGCAGCGGGTTAAAGCACAGCACTGAGAATCTAAAGCCACTTCCACATGAGTTTGATTCCCGCCTGCCCCGGAGGTGACCACATGGTGTGGCAGACCTCCCCTGACCCGCCCTGCTGCTCACCTCAGCAGTGTACTTCGTCGATCTGCCTGTTCTGCTCCCCACTCTGTCTCTGGTGAAGCCTCTCACCGTCCCTGAGCCTCTGGCCTGTACCCCAGTTCTGTATGAATAAATAAATAAATCTTTAAAAAAAAATATATATATATATAATAGTTTATTTTTACATCATTTTGTGCCTTTTTCCATTTCAGTTGTAATCCCCGTGGCTTCCCATCACCAAATCACTTGTGTGCCATCACCGTAGTCTAGTGCACTCCTCCCCCACCCCCGCATTTTTGATCCCATTCCCCACTCCACCCCCATAAAATATCTATGGTATATAGTTGTTCATTATAATTATTTTGTTCATCCCTAGTCCTTTATACTCTTGCTACGAGTGAAACCATCCGGCATTTTTCTTTTTCTTTCTGGGTTATTTTGCTAAGCATGATCCCTTCCAGCTCCATCCCTGTTGCTGCAAAAGGCATGTGTTTATCTTGTTGGACTGCTGTGTAATATTCCATTGTGTATATGCACCACATTTTTTTAATCCAGTCATCTACTTTTGGGCATTTGGGTTGTTTCCATGTCTTTCCAATTGTAAGTGGGGGTGCAGGTTAAAACACCATTTTTTAAAAAAAAAATTATTCTTTATTTATGTATACAAGAGTTGGGGTGTAGGCCAGAGGTACAGGAGGTGAGAGGATTCACTAAAGACAGAATGTGGAGCAGAAAAGGTAGATTGACTGAAATACACTGCTGCGGGGAGCAGCAGGCGAGAATGGAGAGTTCTGCTGTGCCATGTGGGTCAGCTCCCTGGCTGGGGATCGAATTTGTGCAGTAGTGGCTGCAGCCAGCCTCATAGTGCTGCAACTTAACCCCATTTATCACTTGAATAAAAATATTTTATATGCTCAATATAAAGATGTTGCCTTTAATCCCATCATGGGCATTTAGACTTAATTCAACATAGAGTATAGCTTGAATGATTTTATAAGAAATAATGAGAAACCTTCCCATTTATGCTGTTGGTCACCTGAAAAGCATGCTGTGATGCTGACTGCTAACTTCTGTGTTTTATACTTTAGTTTATTTAAAAAATATTTATGCGTATAAAACAGGGGTACAGGCCGGGGATGTGGGAGGTGAGAGGATTCACCAAAGATAAAGAGCAGAACAGGCAGATCTACTGACATACACTACTGAGGGGAGCAGAGGACAGGTCACGAGAGGTCTGCTGCACCATGTGGGTCATCTCTCTGGTGGGGGATTGAATTCATGCTGCAGTGGCTGCAGATAGCTTCATAGTGCTGTACTTTAACACATTGTGCCACCAGGGAGGGCCCCTTATACCCAATTTTAATACTATTGGACCAGTTGCACTGAAAGAAGCACCATTCGACTCGAGAAGTAATTTTTTACCTACAAATTTTAAGTTATTCTCTTGAAACTGTTAAGGGGAATAATTTCATCCAATACAATAACCCTTCTTGCATTCCTTATTCTCTCTTCTCTGATCTATTCACACATTTTGTTGTATTTTATAAAGGTATCAGTCCACAAGGGATTTGAACTTAAAATATATTTTTTTCGCCACTGCATTTGAAAAAATAACGCTCTAGTGTTAAGTATTGATTCTGCATCTTGAAGACCTAGAATCTGTCCAGTGGAGTCAGACTCTTCTTGTAAGTCAGTTATTTTCAATATTAAGAGTGTGTGAGGGGAGGGAGTGAATCTTGGGAAAGTTTACAATGTAGTATATTTTTTAACTCATTAAAATTTGATAAAGGTGGCCCTCCCTGGTGGCGCAGCGGATTAAAGCACTGCACTAAGAAGCTTAAGCCACTTCCACATGAGTTCGATCCCTGCCTGCCCCGGAGGTGACCACATGGCACCGCAGACCTCTCCTGACCCGCCCGCTGCTCCCCTCAGCAGTGTACTTAGTCGATCTGCCTGTTCTGCTCCCCACTCTGTCCCTGGTGAATTCTCTCACCCTCCTCATCTCTGGTCTGTACCCCAGTTCTATATGAACAAATAAATCTTTGAAAAAAAATTTGATAAAGGTGTAAGCTGTAAGTATTTTAGTTAGGGGTAGAGTAGAAGGGCTTCCTAGTTTTCTTTGGCTTCCCTCTTTTATCATCACACGAGTGTTTTAATGTTACACCCACCCATTCTTCCTTGGGCCTCCAGGGGCAGGAAATAGGTAATGGTCTATTGGCCAAAAGTAATATGGAGCAATAAATCAGGATTATCAAAATGCTATGGCTCCCCAGATATTCTTGTGTGATATCAAACAGGATAGAAGAAAGCTGGCTACCCACTGGATCTAACATAAATTATGACAGGCAAGTGTCCATTAAATACAGAATTGATGATACTCTAAAAGAAACTGGATATAAATTTAGTTTTATTTAATTGACAATTTTCTTCTGTTTTGTAATATAATAATATCTTAGGACTTAGACTCCAGCCTGCTACAACTCATGGGTTCCTGGAATAGCTCTAGATTAAGTTGAGTATCAGTTATGTATTACTATATACAAAATTTTCCAAACTCATTGGCTTCTAACAACCATCATTTATTATTTCTCACAAGCCTGTTAGTGACATTGTTTCTGTGGAATTGCTAACTGTCTGAAGGCTTCCTGGGAGCTCTGACCTTCCCTGGGCTTATTTGAAGGATCTTAACTAAAATAGAGTAGTTCCATGTGTCTTTTATCCTTCATCTTGGACAAGCAGACATGCATGGGTTTGTCCTTTTCATGGTGATAGCAGAAATACAAGAAAGCAAGCAGAAATTCTAAGCTCACTTGAGATCTATGCTCTGAACTGATCCACTGTTGTGGTACATCCCTTCATTCAATAGAGTAAAGCTTACATTGATTATCTTTAAGGTAAATCAAGTAATGTGTCATGTAACAACTAATAGGCTTATTAATTCTATAATTAATGAGTAGAACTTCTGTTTTTCATGTTGGCTGTTTTATCACTAAATATCTATTGATGGATGAAAGATCAATGTCACTTTGACCATAGGATGATGGTGCCTTGTAGAAGGGCTTTTAAGTCCTAAAGAAGAATATGTGTGGGAACTAAAGAAGGCAGTTCCCTGGGGAGAATTTGCTGCCTACTGGGCAATGTGTGGGACAAGTGGACACACAGAGCAGCTAATGAACTAGGACTAGCTGTGTTCTGCACACATTTAGGTCATCCTGTGATTGACACTGTGCTCGGCCCTGGGAGAGTAAGACTTGCAAGACTTAGTTGCTGATCTCCACTGGTCTGAAGTCCAGCATTCTGTGCTCAGGTCCTAATGTAACTTAACTTGGCAAAGGGAGGAAGCCCTCATCATTTAAGAGGTTTGTGAACAAATATGAGCTTCTCATGGACAAAATACCAAATAAATCCCACTCACCATTGCATTTTCCACTCTGTTTTCACAGAATCTTGAGGTTTATCTCCTTGTCAGGGAGGGTCCTCTCTGAAATCAGACCTAATGAAATTTCTTTTCTTCATATGCCTAAACTCATGCAGTGATAGAATAAGTAGAATATTGGGACACTATGGTCAGTCTAGGTTTGCTACAATCTCTATAAACCATGCAAATAATTTCTTGGAGACTCATCTATAAAATGAAGGGCTAGAAGATCAAAATTGCAGTGAGGTATCACCTCACATCTGTGAGAATAACATAAGGTCTGGGACAAGTGCTGGCTAGAATGTGGAGAAAAAGTAACTCTCATACACTGTTGGTGGTAAGTAAATTGGTGTACTCCATGGAAAATGGTATGGTGAGTTCTCAAAACCTGAAAATAGAAAAAAAAATCCACAATTTCACTTTATCAAAACACTATGAAAACACTAATCTGAAAATATATATGTACCTGTGTTCATTGTAGCACTGTTCACAATAACCAAGATACAGAAACAACTGAATGGCTATTGATGGAATGCTGGATAAAGAACTTGCAGTATATACATTCATTGGAATATTACTCATCCATTAAAAAGTTGAAATCTTAACCTCTGGGATGAGATGGATGAAACTTTAAGGAAACGCTAAGCAAAGTAAGTCAAAGACAAATACTGGATGATTTCATGTGGAATATAAGTGAGGCAAGCAAACAAAATATTACAAAAACAACTCAGACTCAGAAAAATACGGTGGTGATCAGAGGGGAGAGGGTAGGGGAAAGAATGGGTAGAGGGGACCAGTTTAATAATGGTTAATAGTACTAACCTAAGTTGGTGGGTGTAGAGTTGTATATATACATATAAAGGGGTGAAACTGTACTCACCAAACTTACCTAGTATGATAAATAAATGGTAAAGGAATTCTTAAATAATGAACATTCTTTTAAATATTAAAATTTAAAAAACACAACGAAGGGCTAGAAAATGCATTATGTACATAGAATTTGAAGATGTTTTTGAAAGCTGACAGAAGCAAAAGTCTGAGGGCTGGTATCTCTCCAAGCCTTTGCGACCGTCTCCTATCAGTCCCTCCCCACGCGGCCAACTGACAAAGAGTGCGCATGTGCAATCGAGGGCCTTGCCGCTTCCCGTAGCTTCCCTTTTCGTTTCGGCCCCGCCCACCATCAGCGCCATCGTTTCCGGTTCAGTAGACAAACGGCCTAAGCGCCCCTGGCCCTTCCTTCTCTGGTCCACCCACACCACCAACGCTCCGGCGGCTGTCTCTGCGGTCGCTGGGGGAAGACAGTTGCTAATAAAGTCTTCTGTCTCAAAGTCGGTGGGTTTGGGCCGAGCCAATCCTGGGCCCCTTTGCCTGACGCCTGCAGTTTCGGCTACATCAACGAGCTTCAGGTCGTCATGGCTTGGGACCGCCGCGGCCGGGCGAGTATGAGGCCGCCTTTCGCTGCCCGCGCGCTCCCGTGGCTTCTTGTCTCTCCGGAGTGCGCCTCAGCCTGAGCGCAGGCCACGGGCCGCTTGGCGCCAGACCCAATGGCCTCCGAGGCGCCATCGTCGTCTTTGTCGCCGTCGCCACCCCCCTCACCCGAGCCTGAGCTCACCCAGTTGAGGCGGAAGGTGGAGAAGTTGGAACGCGAGCTGCGGAGCTGCAAGCGGCAGGTGCGGGAGATCGAGAAGCTGCTGCATCACACGGAGAGGCTGTACCAGAGCGCCGAGACCAACAACCAGGAGCTCCGCACCCAGGTGCGTTGTCCGCGGCCAGTGCCTGGCCCCAGCCGGCCAGGGGAGGCGTGTGAAGCCTCAGATCGCTCCCGGGGGACCCTGGCAGAGACCCCCGGCTGGGACCCAAAACTTATCTCTAGAGTACTTGCGAGGAACTAAAGTTTAGTGCAAGGAAATTGAGTTTATTTGGGGTAATCCTTAAGCTTGCGGGTTACCCCGTTTAGTTGAATGCGCGAACTGCAGTTAGGGTTGACATGAATAGAACTAAACACAAAGGGTAGGTTGTCTTCCTTTTCACATGGAAAGTGCCCGTGGCAGTTTGCACATTTATGACAGTTTGCACATTTATGACAGTTTTATTCAGAATCACTTTGAGTTTGTTAAAGCGCTGGTCTTGAACCAGAATTCCATCTGTCATATATGAATGGATAGCACCTCAGTTGTCCATAACATGAGAATGTGTTAGTAACCCACAGATGAAATCAAATTCAGTGTGGAGGAATTTTTACAGTTTTACAAAGTTGAACAATGTACATGGTTCTCTATCTTCAGTGTTTTACTGAGGAAGTTGTAGTTGTCTTTGTTGAAGGTGCTAAGTAGCTAATTTTATTTTCATAAACTATAGTAAGGGCAAGTATTTAAACGGCCATAGTATTATTTTTAATTGGCATAATATTTTTCCAGTTTGATTTCCTGTGCAGTTGCACACTCCTGACAAGTTATTTCCAGATAGTTATTAATTCAGTTAAACCTTTGCCTAGTCCTTTGTAATGAGTAAAAGATTATAATGTGCAAGTTGCCAAGGGCACGTTCCATGTGAAAAGGAAGACAGTCTACCCTAAGTGTTTTTATTTCTATTCATATCAGCCCTAATTGAAGTTTGCACATTTAACTAAATGGTTAATATTGGTGCATTTCTGGAAACCATGTAAGTAGGCTGAAAACTAAAACATCTTCAGTCTTCAGTGTGCTTTGTTATAAAATGTTTTATGAAAATAATAGCTGAAATGCAATGAATTATGTGACACAGATAATTTGCATTTGTTTATTTGACAACTAGTTCTTAAACAACTTAGTGCATAAGGAAAGACTAAATGGCTAAGAAACTATAGATATGGTAAAAATAATGTGGAAGGATAGCAAACTGACAGCCTTCTAAAAAACTCACAATTTAAAAATTTTTTTTTATAGAGACCCTAAATATATATATATATATACACACACACACACACACACACACACAGGCACATTTATTTGGATGTATATACACATATGTGTGTGTGTGCATACACACAGATAGTAACTTAGGAGTCAAAAGAAAACCTTGTGCAAATTATCCAGGTTTCTCAGATGTAAAATAGGGACTAGAACAGCTCATCTGTAAAATGGTTGCAAGACTTAATGGGATATTACCTGCAGTGCCAAATGGTACCTAGCATGTAGCAGATATTAAATCAGTGAGCCAGGACTAGGCAGTAAG